ATTGGTGGAATTTCCAATAGTTTTGATATATTGTTTAATCTCATTGCCAAAAATGGAAAGAATTTTTTTTTATTAGTGTAACTGCATTTATGCATGTGCCATTTGGCTAAGTATATAATAAGATTAATAATATAAAAATGTTTTTTTAGCTGTTGGATAGTTAATGAAGCAAAACAATACATGTTAAAAAATGGAGACATACAGTTCAATAGAAGCAGAAAGCACAATGAAAATACTTTCACAAAATTGAATAGAGAAAAGTCCAAAATAAATCAAACATCTTCTGTGTTTCCTTCACAAAAGAGCAAATAATATCCATGTTATTGTTAAAACATTGTAGAAAAACTTTGGATGGGTAAATTCTGTGAATAATTTTAAGACACTTCTTTTACTTTATTAGTTATCATATATTTGGTAAAGTCCAAAATCCTTTTCCAGTTAAAGTTATGAATAAAGATGTTCCAATAAAATATCACATATGGAGTTTACGTTTTTCTGAAATAATGAGCATTTATTTTTGATGTTTGTTGCTTTTACAGGTTGAGCAGAAACAGATTTGACCTTTTTAAGCCTTCTGGACTCTTTTAACCTGGTACAGGCCGTATCTCTGTCAGCTACCTCTGACCCTCTCTCAAGCCAGAAACTCCTGCTGTGTTTACGGCTTTTCACAGATGAGTGTGAAAAACTAGAACTTCTACTGTATTGTTTTCCCACACAGACAAAAGGCAGTTAAAACGATCCTAGCAAACCATCTGCTGTAACTACAGGTAACATAAAGGTCAAAAAGCCAGAATACATTACTGATTTTAAAACCAAAATTAGGCTATTTGAATCAAAACATCTTAAGTTTTAAAACTAGCTTATTTTACATTTATTTTCTTAAGTCTTAGCAAGTGTCAGTTCTCCAAGCTTCTTTTTTAATTCTCTTGACAGAGTTAGTGGACTAAGTTGTATTCCTTCATCCTCCTTCCTAAACTTTATGATTAACTTAGTTTCCTGCCCAACAATCCTCTTGCAAACTGCATTATTTTCATCCAAACTATTTTCTTCTAGACTCTGTTTGCTACTTTGTGCCTATAACAAACTTCCTTCTTTTCTACTTCGTTCTCTTCCTTATCCTCTACTACCACGTACTGGAGTTCAGTCACCAAAATCCATTTCATCATCTCCCTCATCCTCAACTGGAGTCGCCATAGCAGTCCAGTTACAAACCAGTTTATGCCAACCGCCAAGATCAGCTATTTTTGTGTCAATCCTGCTGTTCCGGAACAACCGTGCCCAGCGCTCCCTTCCAGTGTATTTAGTCCCACCTGTTTTCTTTATCTCTTGTCGGGTCCTTGTCATGTGTTCCTCTTGTTATGTCTTGCTGCCCGATGATCTGTTCTGTTGGACTAGCATTAAACCATCATCATCATCATCATCATCATCATCATCATCATCTTCATCCTGGCCTGCCTGTGTCTTCCCTCACCTCACCAAACCCACAAATCATGACAAAATTGTCAATGTATTAAAAGTTTACAGACAACATGCTTATGAAAATTGGTACAATAAAACAATACACATTCATATTTAGAAGAAATGTGAAACATATTTCACTGACAGAGTATTGTTTTAATTCAGTTTCACAGTATTCCAGTATTAGTCCAGTGATGTCAGTAATGCATTATTTTTGCATTACTGCCTTTGTAACACTACTGACGTCAGACAGCTTTTTTCAGTAACAAGTAATCTTGTGGGGATTAGTTTGGTTTCCTTTTCAATTCTTTGCCAGTCCACCAGAGGGAGCCATTGGATCACTCTGCGGGGGATGGCGTGCCTGCAGGATCTCAACTGTCCACACCTGAAAGGAATATCATCATCCAGAGGAGTATATAAGCAGCAGACAGCCAACACTTTCTTGCCAGAGTGTTTGCCAGTTTTGGTACTATAGCTCCTCAGTGTGTTTGGTCTAACATATATTGTGTTTTGACTCAAGTTTGTTCGGGCTCTCACCCAGTTCTTGTGACTCTCCTTCAGGAACCCTTCAAGGCCAGTGGGGTTGGTTCCTCTAGTCCACCAGTCCTGAAAATACCTTTTTCGTGATGCCTCAGCTGTCGGCCCTGCAGCTCCTCTGCAGTGACATATCTGACCTGCCCACCCTCCAACGTCTGGTCCCTCTCCTTCCAGCCCACATCAGTGCTCTCCTCAATCTGAAACCACGTACCTCCACCCGTCATCCTCAACTTGTTTTTTCAAGTAAGAACAGAGCTCGCGGCCATTAATTATCTCCATTCTCACCCCCTGTGAACCCACCTGGATTCCGACCCGTTGATCCCCCTAACCATGTTTCTTTGTTTTTTGTATTATTGCAATAAACATCCTTTTTTACATCCATCTCTTTGAGTGTTTCTGCATGTGGGCAAAAAGTGTTAGACCCATCATGAAAAATGTAACGTGTTACAATTTCGAATCCAGTAATCGGAATAAAGTTACTTACCCAAATCATTTTGCGTTACTATGTTCTTTTTAAATGTAATTTTATTTCCTCTATGCATCGAGTGAACGCTTTATGGTAATGCGCAGTGGCGCAACTACACATTATTCAGGTGGATGCGAAAACATAAATCAGCCCCCCCCTCCGAAGGAAGGTTGAAGGAGCGTGGAAAACATACGCTCGCTCTATCCCCCCGGGACGAAGTTATGTGAAGGGTAAAACTTGTTACATTTATCTCGTCACGTGTGCAGGTGAAGGAGCATGAGGCGCGCTGAAGTGTATGGGAAAACATAATCGGCGCGCCGCCCCCTCCAGACGGGGTTTTGGCGCCCCTATGCGTTGCATGCGCTGCATAACCCCTTTTTGCACCACGCATGCGCACATCGATGTTATGTCACATACTGCTTACTCAGGAGATTTCTTATAAATCCATCATAGCTGTGTGTTATGTTTCTCAGACGTTTACGGTAAATTTTATGTAATTAAGCTGCTATGTTAATCAAACATATTAACATAAATTACTTTTGCTGTTTCTAATATTGTTACCAAACTGTAAACTACGCCTTGACTGCATGAACATTCTGAGGGTTTTTTTGTTGTTGTGGTTTCTTGGACTGTGGTCCAAATTATGTGTATTTAGCACTTAGCGTTGGAAACACACCAGTTTTTCCTGTTGTTAAAAATGTAGCTAGTTGCTCAGTGTAAAAAAAATAAAAGCCTTACACCATCAAGACCATTTGGAGGTTCATCCTCAGAACTGAAGTGATGATCTTGTGGAGTCAGAGCTTCTTCTGAGACAGTAAAGTCTTTAGGTTTTCTAATACCAGATCTCTGGCTTCCTCGTTCATCTTGATTTGCTTAAACCAGTGTTTTTCAACCCCTGTGCCGCGGCACACTAGTGTACCGTCAGTGATCGTCAGGTGTGCCGTGGAAATTATCCAATTTCACCTACCGTATATTCCGGACTATAAGCCGCTACTTTTTTCTTCACTTTGAACATGCAGTTTTCACAGAATTTTTGAATCTTTAGCATGAAGTGAATCATTGGAAATCAAAGAACGTGCTAATTTTCATTTAGAACAAGTACATGCTAGCAGCAGGCACGATAGAGAAATGTTTTCAAACTCATATGATGCAGCTTCTAAGTTGAGGAGTATTGATCTGGCAGTACAGGAGGGAAATAGAGCCGCTGCACGTAAACTCGGCGTGAACAAAACCGGATTTGGAGACGGAGGACTGCGTCCTTAACATATCCAGCAGTTATTTGGACGCAGCCCTCTGCTGCCCTCTGCTGGGTCTTTATGGAAAACCGAGAGCGGCAGAGATGCCAGCGGCCTGTAGCCCGGTGCGGCTGATATATGTATGTTTCCAGGAGGGGGGAGGGCGGTTCAAAAAAATTTGAAGGTACGGTTTATAGTATGGTGCGCTCATAGTCCGGAAAATACAGTAATTGGTCTTAAAAGATTTTTTGAAAACGAATTAATTATCTGCAAATAGCGCCATCTTTGTGTGTCTTTGCTGTAGTAGTGACTAGCGGCGTAATCGTGTAATGTTATTACCACTAGATGGCAGTAGGTACAGAGCATTTTACATTAAAACAAGAGAATTAGCGATACATGAATGTTACTACATTCATGCATCACTTCATTAGTCTAAAGTATACACTGAGATTTAATTTAAAACATACTGAAATTGTAGTATATTTCATTGTTTACTTTTAAAATAAGCTTAAAGTTAATATAAAAGTATATATATAATTTCTCAACCTCTGGGCATGATCTCTCTCTCTCTCTGGCTCGCTCTCTCTCTCTCTCTTCCAGAGGCCTGGGAGCTTGAGGGTCCTCCAGTATCTTGGCTGTGCCTAGAACTGCACATTTCTGGACTGAGATGTCTGATGTTGTTCCTGGGATCTGTTTGAGCCTGCTCCAGTTTGGGGTTGACTGCCCCGAGGGCCCCGATGACCACAGGCACCACTGTGGTCTTCACCTTTCAGGTCTTCTCCAGTTCCTCTCTGAGGTCCTGGTATTTCTCCAGTTTCTCCTTTTTCCTGATGTTGTGGTCACTTGGTATTGCTACATCCACCACAACGGCTTTCCTCTGTTCTTTATCCACCACCACAATGTCCGGTTGGTTCGTCACCATATATATATATATATACATACATACAATTTCTCAAACTCAATGATGTAAAACACAGAAAAGTACTTTTTTTTGACCTTTTGACTCTGGTAACACATGTCAACACCCAGTGTCCCTGCAGCAGCGCAGTATCTCCCAAATGCTCACAGCAGCTGCACTCATTCAGGGTCTTGGCTGGGTCCAGCGCCACCTCAGTGTTTTGGCATTCCAGAGCTGGGCTCAACCGTGTCTTTAAGCATTACCTTTAAGCTCTTGTCCACAAACTTTCATCAGTTTGTCACACAGTGTTAATGTATATTGAAAGGAAAAATAATTTTCAAAACATTTGATTTATAGTAAATAAACACACATTCTTTATTTGTAAAAAAAATAAAATAAAAATTAGTATTGTTGGTAAGTGTATTTTACATCAGAAATAAGCAGAAAATGAGCAAGCGTTATTGGCACTTACATGATTGTAACAAAAACAAATGGAAAAAAATAATTAATTTTAATCCATTTACCAAACCTATGAGCAGTTTTATTTACTACTTAAACACAAATTATGGCATTAATAATGCAGACCACTCCTTCCAGTGTAAATAAAGTTGTTCTCTGTAATATGAAAACACGATGGACGTATTTCCATGTTAGCCTGTAACTACGACAATGTCCCCCATGCATGTGAGCCATGCTGCAACAACGTACCTAATACAAGAAACACTTATTTGTTTAAAAACTAGACTGAGACATGATGTTGGATGTGGGAATCAAACGTCACAGGTGCTGTCAGAAGAGACACTCAGCTCCTCACACCACTTGATGTAAGCTCTCTGCAGGATGTCAAATGACATGTTGTTAAAAATTTCTGCAGTAGGAGAAAGCAAATAAAAACTTTAGATTCATTGCATCTAAAGTATTACAAATTACATTGAGTTTGTGCCAGTATTTGATTGTTACCTGCTTGCCCCAAACCAACAGGAAGTGGCATTCTGACCAAACCACCAGAATGCTTCAGCCTGTCCTGCAGAGACTTCTGAATTAGCTCCATGGTGAACTCCTCGTGCCAGACAGGAAGCTCCAGACCAACCATGCAGCTTATGATCCTTTGCTTTTCTTCTTCCATCAATAGGCCGCACTCATGAGACAAGTATACCATATAAGACATGTCAATGTTTACTGCTTCACCATGCAGTAAGGATGGAAGAACTTTCTGAAATACAGAGAGGAAAAAATAAGCTCAGAAGAGGTTGGTTCTACTTCCAGGGAGTATAAATATATCCAAGTGATTGACAGACATCTAGGGTAAAGGTGCACTCATTCCAGCCATGTTTAGTCCACTTTCATCAAACTCTAGTCCATTTATCTACAACAGGGGTGTCCAAAGTCAGTCCTGGAGGGCCGGCATCTTGCATGTTTTAGTTCTCTCCCTGGTTTTACACACTCGTTAGAAGGCCTAAGCAGAACACTGACTTGATGAAGAGATTGTTACAACCACTAGGGAGAGAAGTAAAACATGCAGGATGCCGGCCCTCCAGGACCAACTTTGGACACCCTTGATCTAGAAAGTCCAGTTTGTTTGGGGAGGTGTGAATGTGCAATTGACCTCAAATATGGACCAATAAAAGCAAATATAAGTCCGCCTACAAACCTACGCCTGGACTCAGTTGAAGTCTGCTTCCTCCCAAGACAGGAAGCAGGTAATAGCGCAGGGCATTCTGGGTAAATATAACCAAAACAAACATGCGAGTCTAGTCTAGTCCAAGAGAAATGCGTCTTTTACCATTAAAAAGAAATTGTAAACGAAAATGCCACTCCGTTTTATTTACAATTTATGAGGAAGGAAATGATGTTCAGTGTCTTCTTCAGAGGTTTTTGTATTGATTCCTTCAGAGGTTCTTGATACAACGCCACCACAGGCAAGGTGGAGAACAGGTTGCTCAAAGGGTTTGGACTGTTTGTCACAGTGCAGTGTGACAGAAAACTGCACTGGCTCAAAATGTAATACAAGTTGGAATTGTGGTACCCAATCAAACCAAGGCAATGGGACTATTAAGTGTGGAGAATGTGCTTCCAAGTTAAATGTTTCTACAGGGAAATCAAGATTTTACATATTTATAATAAGTCTCAAAAGGAACAAAGGAATAAGAAAACTTGTTCTAACCAACACTGAAAGAAAAACAAAAAAAAGGGTAACCAAAACAACACTACAATGTACTACTAGACGAGGTACATATCAGCACACATTATCATGTGCAAATATTGGGCATGGTTGACGTTCAGATTCTCCAGTTGTAAGAGCGGCAGGGGTTGGCTGGACTTGATGCCAGTATGGAGGGGACAGGGTTCTCATGCTGCCCTCCACAAGATGGCGCCCCGGGCAGTTGCCCATGTTGCCCATATCAGAAACCGCCACTGACCACCACTGATGTTTGGGAACGCTACCACTAATGTATTAAGTATTATCAAGCTCTTTCCTGTTCAGTTCTGCTTAAAAGAAATCAGCAAAATTATTTTTGGCATTTTTCTTGTCAATGTAAAAGAACTGAAGCAAGTCTCTTTCTATTATTTTATTACACAAAAGAAATCTATGGGTTTCACTGAATTCAGTTCAGTTGACCAGAGCGAGTAAACATAATTGAGCGATTTCCATTGTAGTGGTAATGTACCTGGGAATAATTTAATTGGATAGCAACAGACTTCAAACAAGATGAGACTAGTAAGAATTTTAAGATTTTGTAATAGTAGTAGTATTGATTAAAAAAAAAGTGTCAGCTCACCATTTCTAATGCTGGACTAATAAGGTGGCCAAAATCCACAAGTCTGTTTAGGTCGTCTTCCCAAAGGTTTGGAGCTAGCTCCTCTAGCATTGTTGTGATTGCTATGTGGGTTGCCTGTGATGCAACTTTAACACTACTGTGCCCATATAAAGTGTTGTCAGCCTGGAATTTAGTGTCCAACAGCATACAGCCATGTTCCTCAAGAAGCTCGAAGAGTCCCTGATGTTTCATCAAAGCCATCTGCAATGAAGGAGAAAATCACTAAAGAAATTAGGTTTTAAAACAGTGTAAAAAAGGCCATACTTTATGAGTAGAGTATTAAAGTGGCAGTGTTGTGTTTTCTTGACTGCTTCCTTGAGTGGTTATAAAAATGCTGTGTATATACTGTATATATTGAACATAACTTAAATAAGAAAAGTGACTTTGAAATGTAATGCCTTGAAATTGGGCATCTGTCTCCAAGAAACTTCTGCTCTTTCTGACACTCTTCCTTCAGAAAGTCATCACAACATGGTTCCACTATTAACACGTTAACAACATTTGTTTTTACTAGCGTTGTACTCCAAAGTGGCTCATATAGTGAACTCAGCAGATGTGCAATTGAACCAAGTAACTGTTGTTGGCTAGTCTCAAGGAGCTTAGTGGGGGAGTCATGGGGAAGGGTTGTTCCCTTATAGTGCTTATAGCCCCTTTAAAATGCTGATGATTTAAATTTCTTTAAGGAGATGCAAGAGAAAATGCATAGATTTCTCCAGCTGAATGAAAAACTGCCTTTCTCCAACCTGTTGCTGGACAGTGCCAGTCAGCTGACTGAAAAAATGTATCGTACATTTCTGTCTCGCTTACAAGAGAAATTCTGCTCCATCAAATACATCCATTCACCAGGATAGAAAGCCTGACTAATTAACCAGCTAATGTTGACTTCTTATGCTTGTTACTCTGTACAAAAGAAAAGGTTCAAGAATGTATTCTGTTCTGTACATTGTAAAACAATACATTGTTTTATTTAAAAAATTCAAAATTAATATTTTGCTCATTTACATATCAGCATAAAACCATTAAAGATGCAATTAGTATGACAGTGATCACCAATTTTTAAAATAATTTTTTGCAGTTGTACTGTTAATTGCTGCTTTTTGTTTCAAATGAGGTATATTGTGTTTTACATTTGTTTATTATTATTATTATTATTATTATTATTATTATTATTATTATTGTGTAAAATCATTAAAATTGTTAAACCATAACATTTTTTCCTCACATTTTTTCTCATACCTTGATCCATAGAAAGCTGCGATCTGTAGTAGTAGCAACAGGAAATAGTTGGGGGATCATGGTGCTACTTGTTTTTTAATGACTTATTGCGTGAAAAAAATGTATTCATAAAACTTTCAATGTGTTTCTTATTTAATGGAAACATCGCAGTTGAAAAATTGTTTTTTTTGTTACATAAGCAGAATATTGACAAAGTTTTGTGCACATTTGTAATGGACGCATAGCTACAGACAGATTTATTAGAACAGCAATACCAGACAACTGGTGCCGAGGTTAGAGATGAAGAATCCTACCTTTAGCATCTCTGCTAGCCCATTGGAGATGTGTCTTCGTGGAACAGTTTGCATAAATGATAGATCAAGCAATGCAGCTGCAGGTGGAATATAAGCCCCAAGTTTGTTCTTGCAGTTGGCGAAGTTTACCCCAGTCTTTGCCCCTACGCTGGCATCAATGTAGGACAGAAGTGTGGTGGGGACCCTAATGTAAGGAGTGCGCCTCCGGTACAATGAAGCTGCCAAGCCCACTATGTCTAGACAAACCCCTCCACCAATGGCAATGATGGGCTCTGTTCGACGGTCGAGAGCAAAGTTATTGACATCATCTAGAATCTTCAGAGCTGTTTCCATGGATTTGTTCCCCTCTGTGATTGGAAGAGCCAAAATCTTGTACACTACATTGTTAGCCTCAAGGTATTCAGTTAGCTTGGGGCCGTAGATTTTAAAGACTTCTTGGTCAATTACCACAAAACGCCTGATTGGTTTATTGGATTTTTTAATGTCCTCCAAATGTTGTGGGTCGGTGATGTGGCCCAACAAGAGAGTGTCATTGGTTGGGTCCAGTAAGTCATGAGTTTCTGTGACCTTGTAAGTAAAGGTGATGGGGCTGACCACGGTCCAAGAGGTGCCTCTGTCTGTGATGCTTTCATAGCTGTTGCACAAGACACAAGAAAAGATTATTAAAAAATAATCAGACAGGTTTCAAGATGTAAACTTAGGCTGCATCGATAAAAAGGACCAAATCTTGAGAACTACAAAAAATAGCAGCTAGCTAGTAAGATTAGCCAAACTTTCAGCTGATTTTCTGAAATAATAACCACTCAAACTGTAAATGTTCATATTTGTAGGATACAAGGGGATATTAGTTGACACAAAATCCAAAGTTGGTGGACTGGCTCACTCAACTGAACTGAGTGGAACTGATTTAAATGCTAACTGATTTAATAAGTTGAAATGCTAACTGATTTCATAATTTTTTTAATCAAGATACATTATTGAGTAAAAAAATTAATATCCAGCTGCAAAACAGCAACTTAACAGAGGTTTCTTGTGAAAGTATAGACTTGCGAATACAACTCTGTATCCCACAGTTAAGTTAATTTGCCCTTCTCAGTGTCTGGCAGGCTGCCAGAGATGGGTCAGGATTGCCCTGTCTATTGTATTGAAAGAGTACTTTGTAAAGCGTGTTAATTTTCTAAGGTTAATTATTTAAATTAAAGTTTGCAGATTATTTTGTTTATTCCCAGAGTGAAAGTAAAACCAAGATTTAAGTGCTGAAGTCCCTAAAAACATTACATATTAGTAAATTATTAATATTGAGTACAGTCTGAGTCTACTGTAATTTACACTGTCAGCATAGTACTCCAGTTTCCTATATATTCAATGTTTGATAGATATTAAAGTTCTGTGGTAAAAGTTACTACAGATTTGGATGTTATGAATAGATTTATTTGAAGACACTGGAATATGTGGACATTTAAAGCACTCATGTTTCAGTTATTAGAGACTGAAATATAGGAATTAGAGATCAGGAAAATGTGTGTATAAAATAAGTTTTTGCAAAATAAAGAGATGCAAATTAGGTGGGAAACGCTACACATTGTGTTCATTGCTGCTGCACTTTTTCTAGACTTACCTCGTTACCGACGAGGTAACACAAAAAAGTATTACCTCGGCGGCAACACAAAAAAGTGTAACACACCTTTTTGGTCCCACCACCCCCTACTGCTCCATCGAAAACTTCACAGAAGGGAGATTCAAAGTAGTTTAAAAAGTGTATTTCTAAGGAAACCAAGCATTGAGTCATTGACTTACATCATTCACTCCTCCTATACCAGCATGTAGTGACAGTAGAAAATAACATGAATTCAGAGACGATTAAACTGTGTAAAGTCAGAAAAAATATTCAGAAAACTAACTTAATGATAGAGCATGTACACCATATGAGCAATCTGCAGTCAGTCAGTTTTGGATGTAACACAAGTCATCCATAAATGCACAGGAAAACACAAACGCACTAACCAGGGCTGAGCCAGTGAAACAAATTGAGCATGGCCAAATAAAGGAGATGCAAGAGAATTAAAGTGACTGAAGTAATATGAGCATCCAAAAATAATAATCTCTAAATTAACAGAAAAATAGTATTTATTTATTTTGCAGTGACAGAAGAGTTTCTTATGCAACTCTGAACAGAAATAGCGAGACATTAAATTTTCTAAAATCATAGAAAAGCTGTGAAATAAAAATGTTTACAAGTTTAAATTTTTGATGGTTTTTAACTACGACTTGCCATATTGACACAAACTTGCCTATTTTGACTTTTCTTTTCAGTCTCCTAAAATTATCTAGTGAGTATGATAGAATAATCTTGTCAGGATTTTTCGATCCTATACAAGTGGCCATGGCAAGCCGTGGGAGAAAAATGATTGATTGATATGATAATTCAAATAGATTGATTAAACACCCTGTTAAAGTTTAATTATGACAATACTTATTTTCACAATTTTATATTGTACACACCTTAAGTGGACTTGCACATATGTAACCTGGTTGTATTTCTCTTTTGTTATAATTACACAAAATGTCTTTTTGGGGGGGGTATTTGTATTGTTTCTTACCTGACTGAAACACCTGTCATTGTTTTAACCGTCTTACTTTAAGATCGGAAGCCCCTCCTTTTTATTTCTTCTTCAGTGGTATTGTCTTTAAATTGTTTACGCCCCTTAGAACCTCCTCTTTTGTCATGTTGTCCTGTGGGAGAGGTGTGTGCTGTTTATTTTTTATCTAAATAAACAGCACACATCTATAAATAAATAATCTATTTATTTATAGATTATTTATAAATCTATAAATAAATCCATCAGTTTATTTGTAGATTTAAGTTAATTTTTGCTATGTACTTTTGTTTTGTGTTGGAGTTGGAGCAGGCAGCCTTTAACACGATTGTTTTCTTTATGTTTTTCTCATCAGAATAAATCGAGAATCATCCTTTTAAAGACAAACTGTGTCACGGCCTGATCAATAAATAAAACCAGCACAACACAGAAAGGATCCGGTTTCACATACATGTAGAAATGTTTATATATTCATTTCATATTCAGAAGTAATGCATGTGGAACTTGGTATAATACAATTAAAATAGCTGCTAAATTAGTTAGGATTCTACTTGAAAGTGGAATACGGGGAATTATGTTGGAAGACAGTTATGTTGTACAGTTTTAGACAGGAAAAGGGCCATGGCAGGGTCTCGGGTCACTTTGACAATGAAAGAAAGTTTGCGTGCATAAGGAAGGTTGGCTGAAGCCAAAAAGGGGTCAGAAGGGAATTTCTGTATGGACAAATAAGGAACAACAACTTGAAAAAGTTGTTAATCAACCTAACTGAGATGGAACAGATGTTCGCTGATCAGAATATGGAATAAGTCCTGAGACCATTATAAATTGTGCCAAGATAACTGCAAAAATTAAGGAAAACTTTAAATACACACCAATAGAGATGAAATAGGGTTGGGAAATTTTGGATTTTTTGTAGATGTGTTGTTTTTATTGAACATGTATTGTCTTCGCAGATGTGCTAAAATAAATCTCTTCCCACTTGCCCTATGGAGCACTGAGAAATATGAGTCATGTGCGTTTTTTTTTTTATATATTCCATGAGTTTGCCACCTTTTGTTCCCTAATACTGTCTTCCTGGGTTTAGTCATAACACAAGCAGCAGCATTTTTTAATCAGCTGCCTGATATTTTAGGCAGACCTGTGAATACATTGTTGCAATAATCAATGTGACTAAAGATAAATGCATAGACGAGTTTCTCCAGATCTTGCAGAGACATTAGTCCTCTAATCCCAGAAATGTTCTTCAGGCGATAGAAGGTCAACTTTGTAACTGTCTTTATGTGGCTCTGAAGGTTCAGGTCAGAGTCCATCACTACACAGCAAATTTGGAAGTGTTAATTCAACTCCTAGAGAGCTGAATTAAACACTTTGAAAGGGTATATATTGGTCCACTCTCAATTGTGTTAAAATGACACTTTTGAAACTGTTATTTTTGAAAGAGTTGAATCAACACTCAGTAGTTGAAATTTAACACATCAGTGTTGATTTACCCAATACTAGTGTGTACTGTCAAAAGTTAACAATATGAATGTGTCAATTTAACCCAGAATATTGTTAAATATAGAACATAGAAATCTGAGTTTTCAAATACTACTGGCAGGGTGTGCTGGGGTAGCGTAGGGGTTAAGCACAACCCACATATGGAGGCCCTAGTTCTCAATGTGGCTGTTGCAGGTTCGCTTCCCGGCTTTTACTGAACGTCTTCCCCTTCTCTCATTACCCACTTTTCTGTTTATTCACTATTACATAAAGGGCACTAGAGCCAATAAAACCTTTTTTTCCCCAGAAAATACCACTGGCAGTCAATAATCCCCAAATTCATTTTAAAAGACATTAGATGCCACTTGAATCTACAAAAATACCAACAGAAGTAGCTGTACATAATGTACTTTTATTTCAAAACTAAAACACTGACAGCAATATACAACAAAGGTCATACATTAAAGGTACTTTGCACTGAAGGTGAAGTGTCTTTGGTGCTGCTCTTATTTTCACCAACATGTAGGAGGAAGGGCTGTCCTGGTTCCACAACAAAGAGAAAGGCTTCAACACTGGCTCCCATCTTTGACAAAATGCTAAGACAACAAATAATAAAAGAATATTAATAATATATACAGCTACATTCAATAGCAAATGAAGCTAATGAGAAAGTGCTTCTACAAAGAAGCAGGATCATTACAATAACCACATACCTGCACGTATCTGACAACATGGTCCACAGTTTGACATGAGCTATTTTGGCATTTTTCTTGTGGCCTTTGGACGTAGGAAGAAGCAAGTGAACCAACAGAAGAATGCCTGTTTTTCCCAGCCTGGAAGGAAAATAAGAAAAATAGCAGACACGTTAGGATAATAAATAAATATTTTAAAAATAAGTGTGAGCAAAACTGATCAGACCCATCTGGGTGTGTCATGTGTCATGAACCATCATGTTCATTTAAAATACTCTGGCCACCTTTAGCCTGGAGAGCATTTCACCACCTACAAGATAAAGCATAACAAAGTCAGAAATAATTACCATGAACACAGCTCAGACATTAAGTGTTACATTATCATTAGGTATTACAGAAATTAGTCAGCTTACAGAAACATTTTGAACAGCAATAAAAGTCGTGCCAACCTGTCAGAAGAAACGTGGTTTCAGTCACCAACATGATGTACTAATGAAGAAAAAACATTTTGGCAGTTTTTAGATGTGCCACAGGTACAACACATTGGAGACAAATGGCTTAATTGCCTCCTCATTGTGTAGATATGTTCTCCAGAGTCCTGCTAATGACCTAATTATTCTATTCACGTGTGGTCCAGCAGCGGCACATCTAAATGTTGCAGGACAATGGCCCTCCAGGACTGGAGTTTGACACCTGTGGCTTAGATCGCTTGATCTACCAGTTCAGCACAGCCACTCCCCCGTTTTGCAGTCTACAGCCAAACACTTGAAGAAAACGACCCCACAGCTAAATAATGTTAACTCAAATGGCCTTCAGATTTTTCTGACAGTTTTAATGTTCGGTTAACCATCCGACACCTCATGCTA